ATCAGAACAATCAGATCAGCGCCAGAACCGAAAGAGGTGGCAGAGTGGCGACCGTCTCTAGGAGAAATGGAGTCGGGAGGACCCACCTTCGTTACAGGAGAGATCGATGTATTAAACATCATCCAAGCCTTGGACCATCGGATTCCCCTTCCGATCGGTCATCTACTCTTGATCTCCGAGCAAGCCAATGAGCGAATGCTACAGCATTGCAAAGCAAACCGAAAGGGATTCGCCCTCGCTTGAAACACCAAATGCAAAAGCCAAAGGCTCCGTGCCAGAAGAAAACCCAACAGGCACTCCGGATCCGATATGGGTAGGTTTAATTCAGAAAGACGATCATTTCTTACGAATTAAACCCATTCCGTGAAAATCCGCAGAATGCGATATTGAAATTTGGGGAATTCCTTACAGTGCAATTATAGACTCGGGAGCATCTGTGTTGGCTATTTCACTGAGAGTAGTCGAAAGGCCAGGAAGAAAAAACGACCTGATCATGCTTTCTGAGAGAGATCAGCTCGTTTCGGCTGACGAGGAAAGGATTAAAACCGTGGGAAGGATGACCAATGTCTTTTTTCGATTGGGAAAAGTGCACTCGCTTGGGGATGTCGTAGTACTAGATGTCAATATGTACGACGTTCTTATTGGAATTCCCGCTCTTGTGGCGTTACAAGCAAACCTGGACTTCGAACGACAATCGATCGTCCTCCGAAATACAGGAGGAAAAACCTACGTCGTACCCATGCGATTGACCCTTCGTACTACGAATAACACGGTTCCGCGGGTTTCGCCGATGATGGCAGGGACTCTCCGCATGATCTCCTGGGATGAATCCGCGGAGGTAAAGTCATCAACAAATAATGCGGAAAGTAGTGACGAAGATGATCCGGAGATCTTGAAATTGGCACGCCAACGCGTTTGCTACCCGCCACCCAAAACGATAGCAAGAACGATGCAACTGACCAGCCGAAAAATTCAAAGAACCAAGGCAATGATCCTAGGTGAGCCCCTCGTACAAATTTCGAGGATGGTCGATTCTTTGGAACCCCCTCAAACTCTGTATGAAGGAATCACCCCTCTCCTCGCCCAGTATAGCAACAAGAAACATTATTGTGACATTACGGATCTACCCAAGTCCTTATTGACATCTGCTAAAGAAGTGAGATTGTTACGCTTGGGGGCGGAAGCAAGCTCTCTGGAACACCTTGGGCGTTTCGAGGGAGAAACAGACGGACTGGGGATAAAGATCGCAACTAAGAACGTGCCATGGCAGGATGTTTGTGACGGGATCACCCCGGAAGGACACGTGGCAATCCGGGAAGAAGATGCCCAGATGGTGGCCACAGTGCTCTCCTCGAGATCGGACCATTCATTCATCTCGGCGCCTCCACCCAACTTCACGAAACAGGCGAGCACAACAGATTGACGTTCGGATCTGGGACCAACTTTTCGGATTACGCGTTCCACAGTACGTGTCGGACGGAATCCACCGGGTAATTGTGGACATTCTAACGGAATATCAAGGAGCGATTAGTGTATCAGACACTGACATTGGTTTGTCCTTAGTAATCCAACATGAAATTCACACAGGAAATCACTCCCCGATTCATTGCAAGCCTTCTCGGTATTCCTTGATTGAACGCAAAAAGGCTCTCGAACGAATTCGGGAGTTCGAAGCCAGCGGCTGGATTGAACCCGCTACTGGACCTTGGTCATTTCCCGTAGTATAAGTACCGAAGAAAAACGGAGTGATTCGCATTTGCATTGATTATCGCAAGCTGAATGAAATCACGATCAAAGATGTGTATCCCCTCCCTCGGATTGATGATTTGTTGGATGCGATTGGATGCGCTAATTATTTCAGCAAGTTTGATATTCGGCATGGCTTCCATCATATTCTGGTTAAAGAGAAAGATCGGCCGAAGACGGCCTTTGTGTTGTTTGAGGGCACGTGGCAGTGGGTTCGGTGTCCGATGGGGATTTGCGATGCGCTTGCCACGTTTCAGCGAGCGATGAACATGACGTTCCAAAACTTGGTCAACAAGACACGGCTGACGCAAGGGATGATTAACTTCTGCATGATCGTGTACATGGGCGACATCCTGGTCTATTCGAAACCTACCACGGGCACGCGCAACATATCGAATGGACATTGGGCGCGTTGAGAGACACTGGGTTCAAGATTGCGCTCGAGAAGAGCGAGTTTTTCCTCTCGAAAATTTCGTTCTTGGGCTACGTTGTGACACGTGTAGGATTGCGGTCGGACTCGAGAAAGGTTGCGGCAGTGAAAGAAGCCCAGGTTCCCACGTCACTGACGCAGGTTTGAGCCTTCTTGGGATTGGCATCGTACTACCGGTGCTTCATCAAGGGTTTTGCCGCGATTGCACGACCACTAACGAAGCTGTTACGGAAGGACCAGCCTCTCAGCTGGGACGCGGAGTGCCAGAAGGCCTTTGCAACCCTTAAGGACGCTCTGGCGACGGCCCCTATTTTGATCCGGCCGGACCCCTCGAAGCAGTTCATTCTCATCACAGACTGGCAACCGGAAGCTATTTCCGCTATTCTAGCGCAGAAGGGGAACGATGGTCGCGAACACGTTATCGAGTATGCGTCACGCACAGTGCCAGATGAACGCCGAAACGACAGATCACGAACCCTTGCTGGCGCTGAAGAAGCTCACCAACTACACGGGTATGATTGGTCGTTGGGCGGTGCAACTGCAAGAATATGACTTCGATATTGTCCATTGAAAGACAGAGCGACACGGCAACGCCGACGGGATGACACGTCTACATCGACCCACCAAGGTACCAAAGGGCGAGGAAATTACACCGTGGAAAGAGCCAGACTTGACCAACGAGCCTAAGTACGGACAAGTGGCAGTTCTCCCACGTGGCAAGAAGCACAACGGTGGCGATGGGTGATGGAGGTAACCCAAGTACCCCTCTTTCTCCCCCTTCCTCCTCGTCTCTCCTCTCCCTGCCTGACAAATTTTGCTATTTTTGCGAAGCTAGCTCCCGCGTATATTCGGTCTGCATGCGTCCTAACGGGGAAGGGTATGTGGATTGGGTAGATTGCCGACAGTGTGTCGCACGAGCCCATGGCTCGTGCATCCAATACAGAAACGATGGTAAACTGTGGTTGTGCCCCTTATGGATGCCACGTCTGAAGGGCCGAAGTATGGACTGATATTCCCTTAATTGCCACCCTAGTAGGTAACCCTCTCCAGGACTTCACCAAGGAAGATCGGAGGAGGGTCAACGAAAGGGCTCGGGATTACCGATGGATAGAAGTTAGATTAGGAAAACGGAAGACGGACGGCAGTGGGATCAGGATGGTGGTACCGCATCCGTTCATGCGATATGACTGGGTTAAGACAGCCCACGAGGAAACTGCGGCCCATTTTGTCGTACGAATCATGGAGTCCGCTATCGACAAAAACGAGTGGTACTGGTCCAATATTCGCGACGATGTGAAATACATCGTCGCCAACTGTCAAGTCTGCGCAGCCAATAAAGCGCCGATTCAGCCCCCAAGATCGATAGTGCCCACGGTTGTTGAACGGCCATTTCAAGGAGTGAGCATGGACACTACCGACATAGTGGTGCCCCTTGGCCCTAATAGTTGCGAATATTCAGTCTTATTGGTATTTGTCGACCATTTCTCGAAATGGATCGAAGTGTATCCTTGCCGCACGCGGCAAGCCACGGATATCACGCGATATGTCAACCATTTCCTCGGGATGCATCAGGATACGGAAGAGATCCTGACCGACAACGGGGCTGAATTCAGGGGAGAAGTGTTAAAGAATCTGGTCATACACGGCGTCGCCATACGGAACACTGCACCCCACATGTCACAATCCAATGGGCTGGTCGAAAACGCTAACCGGGTGATAAAGACAGCATTGCGACGAAACATCGCGGCACGGGATCAGAGGCCCTGGCCCGATATCGTCGATCACATCCTGGCGATCCATCGAGGCACGCCCCACGAATCGACGGGGCTAAGCCCCTTCCAATTAAGGACAACTAGCGTCGCTTGCGTTTCGATACCAAGCCTCCCGGATGAGTCTACATTGAACCGACGACCCACCAGGGCCACGACTCGGGACAAGGCCAAACGGCACCTAGAATTAATGGAACGGTCGCTGCCCAGGCTAGCCCGAAAACGACAGAAAATGACCGAACTAGCCCAAGGCCGACAGGTCCGGAGCTACGAGGCCCGAAATGGGAATAAGGGTCCGCGGCCCCAGTACAAATTGGGGGACGTGGTGCAGGTGAGGAAATGTGCTCGCCAGGGTAAGCTAGCGCCACGATTCTTCGGGCGATATCGCGTGATCGAACTCGGCCCCAACGGCGTGGACACGATGCGTCTCGCCCCTGAAGTCTCTGGCAGTCGATTGGCCCGCCCGATCACACACCACGTATCCTACCTTCGCCTCCTCCCCTCTTCTCTGTCTCCATCTCCCTCAGTCTCTCTTTCTGAGGAAGCCGACGACGACAGCTCTGACACTCTGCCATCTCCCTCTCCTTCTTGCTCCCTCTTTGCCACCCCATCACCCCCAGAATCGCCATGAGCTTCGCCATCGAGCGAGCTTTCAGTGATCAGTTGCTGATGCCACGGGGAGAGATCTCAGCTATCCTCCAAGTGCATCATCCGCGGATCAGCCCCGACTTCATGCGCCTTGCATAGTTTTTCTGCACTACAGGTGTGTACCGCGCGGCAGAGTTCTGATTCACGAGCTTTCCCACAGTGGTGGTGCTGGCCGAGGCAACGACGTTCCAACGGCGAGTGGCCCCGGGAATCAGCCACGTGTCAACCGTGGTGGTCTTCAGCGGCGACATCACCGCCTTCGATCCGGCGCGGCAAGCCGCCATCAAAAGCACCTTGTACCGGTGTGGTCGCGATCTGGCCACTGATTGGGATCGACGACTCACAAGGCACGGTGAGGAGTGCTATCCTGTCGACGGCATCGAGGTTAACACGTTGCGCACAACGCTGCGAGAGCCACCTGCCATCCTCCTTGAACTTGCTCCCTTCCAGCTGTGCAGATGAGCCGCGCGCCGATCTCAACGTTTTCTCCTCCCTCTCTCTTCCCCATCTTCTGGCAATCCTCTCACTACCCTCGCCTCTCCTTCTGCTTGGAGCCGCTGACAGTACCCATCGTTGATCCGGACCGTTCGAGCCTGTGGCGTGCAAAATTCGTTGAGCTCTCGTTCGGCCTACTACGAGTGGATCTGAACCAGACGTGGGAAGGCGATCAGAGGCCCGCATCAGAGACCGTGGAGCTGCTCATCATTCAGGCGTGGAGGACCAGCGTGGCTGGAGACCTTCTGGGATCCGTCTTTGGAGCAGTGGATTGGGGAAACCTATCACAGATCGTGCGCGAACTTACAATCGTGATTGCGCGACTGGCCGATGAACTCCCCCTTGATATCGTCTCTCAGAGCGACAAAGAGCCCGTGCCGCATACCCTCTCAAGGACTCTCGCCCCGAGACTCCAGTGGTTGGCTTGTATCGAGGAACGCTGGGCGGACGGCCGTTTTCCCTCTTGCAGCGAGTACCTGGACGTCCACAGCCTAACTAATCCCCGCTTCTTTCGGCAACCAACGGCGTCCGAGTGGGCGGCGCTGAGAGCAGAAGAGGAGGCAGAAGAGGAATCGGAAGGAGAATTGAGGAGAGAGGCCGGGGAAACGGCGGCCCGGTTGGCTGAGGACGAGGAAGAAGAATGTGAAGCAGAAGAAGAGTCGGCGGAACCTGAAGAAAAAGAAGAAGAAGTAGAGGAGGAGACTTCGGAGGAAGAGGAGGAAGCCTATAGCGAGCACAGTGAGGGCGAGCAAAGTGAGGAGGAGGTTGAAGACGATGACGAAGAAGTGGAAAGCGGAGATGACCAGGAGCCAACGCATGACGACAAGCTCGAGTGGGTGGCAGGACCAGATCGACGAGAGGAGAACCCTGAGGCTGCTGCGCAGCGCAAGAAAAAGGTCGCAGAGGGAAATCGGCTGGCGATCGATCCCGCACCGAACGATCCTTCCAAGGATCTCGAGCCGCCCAAGCCGGAACATGGAGACCTTGCCGCCACGACCTCGAGCGCCATGAGGACAAGGGGCCGACCCCGATCCCGATCCCCATCCCCCTCTGCCTCCGCCTGTCCCCCAATTCGCCAACGTGTCAATGAGCGGCTTAGCCCTTCGTCCCCGATCCATACACCACCGTCCCCTTAGCCATCTCTCCTTCAATCAGTATTTCCATCGCGTCGTCTTCCCCCGTAATCCATTCCCTATTGCCACCTTCGGACACTTCTACTCCGCCCGGCTAGAGCTGACTGTCCACCCCCACCCTTCTGTTCGGTGCGCCGTCCCCGATTACCCCCTCCACATTTTACTCCTTAGCGCCGCGTGGCGAGGCCGTAACCACCTAGAGGTTTACTGCATCGTTACGGGGACCTTTCTCTCGTGCGAAGACCATAATCGGTTCCGCACCTACGTCCTCTGAACCCTCGTTTCCCTTTACCCGGATTACCTCGCTTCCCTTCCCCGCAGCGGCCAGTGATTCCCCCGCTTCCATCGCATCGTCCGCTTGGATTGTCGAGAACCCAATCTGAGGAACTAGTAGAAGAGCAATGTTGCCACGTGGATGACGTCCACACGCAATTGAACGGTAAGTGGCATACATAGAAGTGCTTCGCGTGTCGATCGATTAGAGAAATCGACACGTGTCAACAAGCAAGCAGGAGCTTGCTAATATTGAAACCCCCTGGGGGTCACATATGTGGCGAACGACTTTCTATAACGCGCGATTTTCTGCGCGGTTGCAACGAGGGGTCCTAAGCTGGGAAGATTGGGCCAATTACGAGAGATCGGGATTGGTGGAAAATTGCATCACTGTCCTCGCTTTTTCGTCCTTTTCGTCACTTCTTTTCCGAATGGCTGGGCACGGAGCTGGGTGTGTCTTGGGACGACCAGTTGATTGATTGGTCGGATTGATGTCTGGCGCGTCGCCGAGCGCGCACGCGATTAATAAATGTTGACGACGTTTCTTTCGGTTCGGTTCCGATCTTTTGGGCGCGGACATCGCACGAGAAATTGCTTCGTTTTTTTTTTAATTTCTTTTTGAATCTTTTTCGAATTTTGTTGAGCCCCCAATGGCGCTCGGAATTTCGGACTTTCCTTCTGGAATTTGTGCTTTCTGCTTTTTCGCATTAAATAGGAATTTAGGAATTCAGTGATTAGGATTTTTCCTGCCGCGCGGCGCCTTTTCTCTATGTACTTCTTCATGCGGCTGCAACGGTACTCTGATTAGTGGGCGCCCTTAATCGTGTGTGTAACTGTAATTTTGGGCGGGCGCCATTATAACTGTATCTTTCTCCTTGAACTTCATCTCTCCCGCCCTCCCTCTCTTTCTTTTACTGAAATTTTTGTAAGTCGCGTCTTGCATTATCGGATCGATGCGTGGAGAAGGGTTACGCCCCCCACGCCGTGGCCGATCATGCAGAGCGCAGACACTCCCTCTCTAATCCCCACTCTAAGTCCTGGTAATTCCGTGTTCTTCGCGCATGCATGCATGCTATAAATTTCGGCTGAGCGATTAGTCAGCTCTCTTAACCCGTCATTGAAGGCTCGGGGTTGCGCGATCAGGAAGGGTCGGCACACGAGCGAAGTAAGAGGTGAGTAGAGTAGGAGTTGCTGCTGAACGTGCGGGATTGATGTGGGCCACGACGGACTGTGGGCACGGGCGAATCCGACGGGCGCGGGAGGACTAAGAGGGGTGACAACTTCGTGGGTTGGTGCGAGACGACGGACTGTCCGCATCGGAGAGAGAGAGAGAGAGAAGGAGGGAGTTGAGGTCGATGGACACGGATTTGTTGTTTCTTTGTCTCTTCCCCTTCTTCATTTCTGTACATACATTTTGATTGCGGCTCCGGGCGGTTTGCCCGTTCTTGTTTTCGTTTCGACTTTCTAGAATCTGGACTTGGGTTTTTGCTCCCACATGTCCTTGCGATGTCCGTTCCGATTGCATTATGAGTATGATTGTCGAATGTATGGATGTATGGATGTTACGCTTGCTTGTCTATCTTTTTGCTGAGAATCCCTGTCCTTGCTTTTTGTTTGTGTCAAATCCTTGCCCACACCTGATGCAGCTGTAGATGGGATGAGAATCGGGCCCCAATAGTGATTTTGTTCTCACTTTTGCTTATCTCACAATTGGGTTGTAATATGGTTGCATTTTGCATAATCGAAACTCCCGAAGCAATTAGACGATCCGAAGTCTGGCCCCTCGAACGTCGTGCGAGAACACGTGTAAACGCGATTCAAGTCGCGCCCTTACACGCATTCCCGTGCATCGATTCGCCCACCCAGAAGGAGTCGCGGCGGAACCGTCATCCCGTACGAGCACGATGAGGCGCTGCTAAAGTTCGCCTGTTCCGCACTTGCTCGTGCACGGTGACGATAACCCGACCCGAGCTGTCCCATCTACGATGACACCATGACGCGATCTTGGAGCTCAGACTCTTCCTACGACCCGGATTATTTCACCCCTTGGATAAACGAACTCATAAGGCTGCGATACCCCTGTCACACGAAGAATCGACTATGTCCGTGGGAATTCCACTGCGCCACCTCTAGCGACCCTTGGTGCTCGGATTTCCCTTCCCCCGACCACACCTACTACTTCACCCACCCGGGATTTGTTGTCGGCACTACCAGTTTCCCTCCTTTCCGCCTTCTTCTCCCCTATCATCAACTCAGCATCGTTCCGTGGCCGGCCATAGCCCCCTATTGGCCCAGTACGTTTTGTGTGAATTGCCGACGTAGTAGCGAACAAAGACCTCTGGAATTCCGAAGGCGCAATCCAGAGGGATTTCCCCGCAAACCGTCGCCCACAGTGCCCGGGCCCCATCGGACCTTGAGCCCCTTGCGCACGCGCCCCTTATTCGCCTAATTGCATTCATACCCCTAAGACCCCCCCACTTTCCCAAAAATCCTTGGCACACCCCTTTTCGCACTTCCAGGCCCATACCCCACTCCGATCAGGAAGTCGCGCTGGGCGTGAGGTTAGGTGTCACAGTGTTTTGAAAAAGAAGGGCCCTACTAGTTAATGAATCGGGCGGAAAAACAGCACCAAATTCATGAGCTGATAAAAACACGCCAGGGGAGCTGTGGCCATGGCGAGAAGGCGCTTTCACCCAGGCTTGGGCGCTTAAAACCAAAAACTTCTTTTTCTTATCTTTTTATAGGACCATTTCTCTATTTATGTGTGTCACCTTTGATCAGGGGCCATGCTGATCTTTGTTTCGGGTCCTAGCGCCATGCAAAAGCTTTGGTTTCAGCCATCTCTTAGCTACATGTGTTTATCTAAGAACCTCGTTCCACACCACTAGAAAATCCTAACTTTGTAAGGGCGCCCTAACTTGTTTTCTCGTTCCACAACACCCTACACTTACTCGCCCTCACATCTGAGGTGAGGAGGGTGGGTGGCAGATATTCGGCCTGTCGGCCACAGGTGTCCGTGAAGGCGGTTCGTTCTGCCACGGATGTCCGTGAAGGCGGTTCGTTCTGCCACGGATGTCCGTGAAGGCAATTCGGCGGACAAGAAGTTGTCCAGACCCACGGCCCTGCGGGACCTGCAATTTCTGGGACATTTCCGGAAGGGCGGGCAGGCTACCGGGCGCACAAAGGCGGAAGCCTTCGCAATGAAAATTGCGAGCGGCGGACCGAATTCGAATTTGAATTTACGCGGCAACGGCTGCCGACAAGTAAGCTTTGCGCGCCCTTCCGCCTTCGGTCTCTATTCGCCATATCCTGCCACCCGCTAAATCGATCTTTGCGCGTGTTCGCGGTTCGTTTGCAGCAATGGAAGACGGGATCGGGGATGCGGCAGGGGCGCGAAGGCTGACACCTAGGGAGAGGTCGCTGTTAGGAACGACCTTGCTTGCAGTTTCTCGGCACATGAAGACGGTGAACGACCTGCGGCGGGCCAGCGGACGAAACCGTGGTAGACGGGAAGCCGCCATAGCCCAGGCTTTGATGGATGTGCACTCCTCGCCAGGTCTGTGGTATGTGCCGTTTATGTAGTCGAATGCCATCATGGCGGGTGTGATGCCGAGGGAGACGCCGAGGTGGTGGGTGAAAGGAAGGACAGGTGGCACATGGAAGGACCTCACCATCGCCGACGATGCAATCGACGAGTATTTACATGAGAAGTTGCGGATGACGCGGACGGTCTTCGATGGTATAGTGGCGGTGTGCAATCCTTTCCTTCAGCGCACACTGACTCACTATCGGGACCCATTGCGGCACGACCATATAGTGGCGTACGCATTGTATCGGTGGGCGTCTGGAGAGATATTCGACAGCGGCACGTCGTCGTTCGACATAGGGAGGTCTTCAGGCATCAAGGTCGTCGTAGATGTTACAACTGCCATCTTGACCGCGTATCCGGAGAAGATCACAGTTCTATTCGATCGTCGTCTCCTACAGGTCCCCTGAGCGTTCAGCGAGAAAGGTTTCCCGAATTGCTTCGGCGCCATTGACTGCACCCACATTTATGTGGACAAGCCAGCGAACGCGCCGTCCGAAAACTACTTTGATCGGAAACAGCAATTCTCAGTCTTGGCACAGGTTGTGGTCGACCACGACATCCGGATAATCGATGTCTTCGTCGTCTATGTGACACCCTCGGCCGCGGATCCTACGGCCCAATCCGCGGCCCAGATCCGAGGACTCATGGACGACTTTTTTGCGGCCGAGCCACGCCC